GGGATTTATTAGTGTTTGTAAATAAAACAGGTTTTATAATGCTTATTTACAGGCTTAATATTTACATATATCTTAATTTGTATTATGTATATCTAAAGTCCACCCAGTTTTAATTGAAAATGTAACTTTATCTTATCAATTTTAAGATGAAACAYTGATGCTGTCAGGATCAAAGTGATTATTATCTTATCTAAGCTACTCCAAGATGATGATATAAATTTTGACAGTTGGGTATTTGGCAATTTGAGTTTCAAAAAAGTTAAAGTTAAACCGAGTTAAGTTACTTAAAGATATAGTTTGGAGATGTGTGTAGGTCTGTATTTATTTGCTTATGTGTTTCCCAGTTTCCCTTAGCTATCAGCATGTAAGATCAATTTTGGCCATCCCTTACAAAATGTATGATTAAAAATACACTTTGAATTTTTGATGGATTATTGTCCCAACTTCAGAGTTTGATGTGCATTTCAGATCTAAAGTTTGATATTAACATTGCCYATTTAACAAGTACACAAAAAAGAATTTGGTGATGAAATTTGGTATATCAGTTTTACGTTTTGAAAGTACAAGTGATCAATCTTTGCATTTGTTATCCAAGTTATGAAATTATGTGTACTCGATCAGAAAATGTGTCATATACTCTTTYGCCATTTAGAAAATCTTATGTGAGCACCTTTCTATCCATTTTTGAGTATTTAGGTGAAAAAAAACTTGTTTTTCAAAATGTACACATAATTGAAAAACTTAAAATGAAAAGCATTTGAGTTTCTAATGGGTAATTTGGCTTATCGATTTGCTGATAGTTTATTGAGTTTTAGACAAATTTAGAAAATAGTTCAAAAGAGATATAAAGGATGTCTATTCATACAAAAGTAATTGGAGTAGAGATTTTTGTAAGGGTGTCCGGGCCAACGCCCGACTAATCCCCGACAATTTTGGAGGCTAAACATGGCCCCACTTAAATATCGCCAACACTCCCCTCCCAGGGCTCGAACTTGGGTTCATGACTATGCCATGCCCAAGCCTTTACCACTAAGCTGGAAGGTCTTTGACTAGAGATTTTGTTCTCTCTTTCAAACTTCATACCTAATGGAAAGGAACAATAAAACACTAGAGGCATTAACAAGGCATCAATACTTGTTTTCAGTATTTCCATTTAACATGTCTGATCAATTAATTGTCTTCATGGTTGTCCCCTTATTTACAGGGTTTATTTGGA